TTGTTGTTGTTGTTGTTGAACATTATTTATTCTAAAGAATAATTATTGTTGGGACCCCTGGTGCGCGACCCCCTCGCCGCGCCTAGGCCGCAGCTACATTTTCATCATTTTCGTGAGGAAGCCTCAGGTAATACGATGTCATCAAGATCCGGTTGTTTTGTTCCCCCCCGCTGTCCCTTGCAAAAAACACTATAAAATGAAATTTCTTGTTCTAAAATAACCAAACTTCAAGAATCCCTTGCAAAAAATAAGGTAAAGTGGACATTCGCGCGCGCAAGACGAAATCCTTCCAAAACCTTAGTGTTCGTAGCGATTTCAACATAAAAACATCAAAAAACCAATGGTTTTTTTAAAAAAAAAAGTGTCACAATTTCATCCCGCGCGCTCTTGCGGATTTGCAGGAAACCCAACACTTTTTAAACATTTCTGTCAAACGGGCTTTTGCGATCAACTTTTTCGAACTTCTGCAACAACGGTTGCGCACCTGCCAGGGCCATCATCCCTGTCAAATAATACCATGCGGGACACATTCGTTTTTTCTTGCGCGCGCACGCCGTCGTCGTCGGCCGCGGGGCCCTGAATAGTAGCCACGGTCGTCCGCATGCCACGAAGTGAAGTGTCCGAACGTCATAGGGCGGGAAGCTGGGTGTGGGTGGTGGCGAAGAGTCGTTTGGAAATGTGGTAGAGCTTGAACCGGCCCCCCCACAAAGTGGGGGTATTGGCGGGCGTCGTATGAAAACCCTGGCGCTGGTGAGAACACTGAGCGTTCGGGTAAAATGATTGTTGTTGTTGTTGTTGGTGTTGAATCTTTCATTTCTGGAAAATATTGTTGATCCCCCCTCACTGGTGCATATTTATTCTCCATCAAAGTGTGTCCCTGACGCCTGCACCCTGTTTTTGACGGGGAAAGTCTTGATGCTCAAACTGCGCCCCTGGCCCCCGGGTTACAACAACAACGGCTCCCGCTTGAGACTTCCTCACAATTTAGCCAGGACCCCCGCTCCAGCCCGAGATTTCCTCACATTTTATTTAGGAATCGCGCGTTCGCTTTGGAGCTCCTTGCAATGTATTATGGAATTGTTCTCCCGGCGGTGTGGAGTCGCGCTCTCGCTGGAGACTTGCTTGCACTTTACTGAAGAATAGCGCCCTTGCGTTGGAATGTCTTGCAATTTGCTCAAGCGCCGCGCCCCCGACACCCAGGCACCCAGGAGTCGCGCCCGTTGTGGCCCCATGTGCGTGCCCTTCGTGGCCCCGCTGTCGCCGTTTGTGAACCCCTCAGTGCCCTACGTGGCCCAGTTGCTACCCTCAGTGGCCCCATCGTTCCCTTCTGTGGCCCCGCATTATCTGCCCTTCGTGGCCCCCGCTCGTTCGCGCTCTTCGTGGCCCTATACGCATTCCCTTCGTGTCCCCGCTGTCGCCGTTTGTGGCCTACGTCGTGTCCTTCGTGGCCCTGCTGTCGTTCTCTCTCGCTCTCGCTTTCGCTCGTCGTCGCCGTCGTCGTCGTCGCCGTCGTCGTCGACGTCGTCGACGTCGTCGTCGGTCCCCTGTCCGTCCCTCGTGGGGTCGGGTCGACGGTCCGCGGCCGCCCCGCAGATCAGCGCTGCCGCTGGCCAGGTCGACGGTCCGCGGCCGCCCCGCCGCTTGCCGGGGCCCGGCCTGCAGGGAAGAAAGGTCTACCCACAAAGGGGTTCGATCGAAGACGCAGATGGCGGGTATCGAGGGTTTGGGAAATACGCGTTGTTGGACACTCGAGCAGATAAGGGCGAACAGTCTTAAAACGATTGTTGTTTTTTTTGTTTGTTGTTGTTGTTGTTGTTGATGTTGATGTTGATGTTGTTGTTGTTGTTGTTGTTGTTGTTGTTGTTGTTGTCGTTGAGTTCCCATTCCTGAAGCATTTATTGTTGATCCCCCAGTGCACCCAGTTTTTTCTTTTTAGTTTCCTCATCACAATTTATACGGGAATCGCTTTATCGCGCGGAAATTCTTCATACTGTATGCAGACATCGTGCTCTCGTGAAGTTTCCTCGCAATGTATTGCGGCGCCGTGCCCACTGGACTCAGGATTCACGCTCTCGCGCTGGCTTTCCTTACGATGTACTTGGGGATCGCGCTATCGCTCGAAACTTCCTTGCGGGTCATGTTGAATTGACGCTCCAGCGACCCGCCCCCTCGACCCGGCTGTCTGGGCCCGCCCGCCCGATTTGCCCGTTAGAGCCCGCCCGCCCGACCCGCCCGTCTGGTTCTGCCGCTTGCACTTCTGTTCTCACCCTGCTCCTACATGTCTGTCTCGTGCTCCATGGTTCTCCCTGCCCCCTGTCTCTTTCCTCATCCCTTGCTTTCCCTGTTTTAAGGGCTGCGCCAACTACACGTTGCAGTTAGGTAAGATGTACCTTCAACGAGGGTACGATCGAAGACGACAAGGGCGTGTAACGAGGGTGTGGGATATACGTGTTGAATGGCACGCGACCAGAAAAGAGCGAACAGTCTTAACATGTGTTAGTGTTCATGTCTAAAAAAGCTATTGCTGATACCCCCCGCCTGGTGCTCCTTGTGTTCTTCAAAGTCAGTGCTCCGCCAGGGGCTCTCACCCTGCTTTTTTACCAGGAGAAGTCTTGCCGCTCAGATTGGACCCCTGGCCCCCGAACTACAACAACAGCCACTGCCGCGTGACACTTCCTCACAATTGATTTGAGAATCGCGCTCTCGCGCGGTACTTCTCATATTGTGTGCAGAAATCGCGCTCTCGCGTGGTATCCCCTTGCAATGTACTGCGGCGCCGTGCCCCCTCAAACTCGGGAATCACGCTCTCGCGCTGGATGTCCTTACGATCAATTTGGGAATCGCGCTATCGCTCGAAACCTCCTTGCGATTCATGTTGGATGACGTTTCAAAGACTCGCCTGCTCGACCTGGCCGTCTGGGCCCTCCCGCCCAACCTGCGCGTTAGGGTTCGCCCGCCCGAACCGCCCGTCTCGTTCTGCCACTTGTACTCCTGCTCCTAACCCTCCTGCAAATCTGTCTTGTGTTCCTTCCTTCTCCCTCCCCTTTGTCTCTTCTCTCCTCCCTTCCTTCCCCTGGGCTGCGCCAACTACGCGCGACAGGTAGAGAAGATATACCCCCAAGGGGGGTACGATCGAAAACGAATGAAGAGGGCGGGGAGCAGATAAGAGCCAGCAGCCTTGAAATGATTGTTGTTGTCGTTGTCCCACTCGCGACCCCGCCCGCGACCCACCCCGCGACTCACCCGCGACCCACCCGCGACCCACCCGCGACCCACCCTGCGACCCACCCCGCGCCCGCCTCTTCACTCTTATCCGCAACTGCGGGGTGCTACACAGTCAGTGTGAGGGGGCCGAACGGTCTACTTTCCACAGGTGCGTGGCTGAAGAGGGTCTCCGCGGTGAGGATTCTTGCTGTTTTGTTTTGTATTGTTTTGTTGTCGTCGTCCCACCCGCGACCAACTCCGCGACCCACCCGCGACCCACCCCGTCACTCACCCGCGACCCCCCCCGCGATTCACCCGCGACCCACCCTGCGACCCACCCGCGACCCACCCGCGACCCACCCCGCGACTCACCCGCGGCCCACCCCGCGATTCACCCGCGACCAACCCTGCTTTCCACCCGCGACCCACCCGCGACCAACCCAGCGACTCACCCGCGGCCCATTCCGCGACCCACTCTGCGACCCACTCTGCGACCCACCCGCGACCCACTCTGCGACCCACCCGCGACCCACCGGGCGACCCACCGGGCGACCCACCCGTGACCCACCCCGCGACCCACGCGCGACCCACCCCGCGCCCGCCTCCACTCTCATCCGCGAGGAGGCGACCGAGGATGATGACCAGTGTTCTGCAGCACACGCCATTAATGCTGCAGTGCACCTCCCAGACCTAGCCTTAAGTCGGGCATGTCACTCTACAGGAGGAGTATCCAAAAATAGTACCAAATAGTATGTGGACGATTTTTCGACCATTTTCGACTATTTTTGAACATTTTTTTGTTTATTTTTCAATTTTCGTCCAAAATCCGCCTGTAGGAGGAAATGCCCGACCTAGCCCGCTTCTCACACGTAGTTGCGCAAAAGCATTCCCGTTCGCTACGGGCAGCGCCCACAGGGTGGTGGCGACACGTTTGGAGCACAACCAACCTGGAATGGTCAAGACGTGGCCATGTGTTCGGATGCAACGCCGGGGAGGTCAAACTCTGACTTTGCCCTGGTCCGAAATCCGGCTTTATCCGGCTTATTCCCGCTTAATCCCGCTCAATCCCGCTGATCCGATTTAATCCCGCTTAATCCGCGGCCTACTCCAGCATATCAGCCCCCAAATGGGGCTTAATCCTCTTTATTTTTTCCGACGAAGACCTCCCGGTAGTTGCCTCCGAACATGTGTCATACGAGCTTGCCCTGATTGGAATGAAACTGCGAGCACCAGCGATCCATGTCTGAGAAGAAGCCGCCCCCCACCCATGTAGCTGTATACGTTTTGAAGACCCGGTGACCGCCCGCGGGGCCGTGGCAAGGGCGCGAATTTGAAGAGACCTCCACTCGTCGTCCTGTAACTAAGCCGTCTTGGAGGCCACCGTGGCCGTCCTGAGGCCGAACAGAGCGCTGGAGAGCAAACTCAGAGAGGCCGAGTGTCTAACCACTCGTATGGGGGGGGGGGAGGGCCGTCCATGCAAGACATTAATCGACCTTGAGAGGCAACAGAGGGGCATTCTAACACGCCCACTCCGTGCAGGCACATTGGCGGATAAGGGGGGATAAGCAGCCAGATGATGACGACCATGCTCACTATACAGAACGCGGGTAATGATGGGGGGGGAGGCTGAATGAACTGATGTTGATACGTTGATCAGGAGGATCAGGAGCATGAAGAGGATGTGGAGCCGAAGGACGCGGAGACGTGAGAAAGGACGGGGAGGTGAAGCACCCTGAGGATGGGGCCTGGCCTCGAGGGCAGCCACGAGGCCCACCCCGCGGGCGTCTCCCCCCGAGGACGCCGAGAAGGCCAAGGCTGTCTTGACGAAGATCAACCGCCCCTATCTGGTGCGCGGGGTCGGGCCCGCAGCAGCGGCGCTCCGAGCGGATGCGCGCGGTCTCCAGGGAGGGCGAGGAAGGAAATGATGGTGGCCGGGGATGGGGGGGAGGGGGGAGGAGGAGGAGGAGGAGGAGGAGGAGGAGGAGGAGGAGGAGGAGGAGGAGAAGGAGGAGGAGACGGGGGAGGAGGGGCAGAAAGAACACGATGAGTTGACGACTGATCCTGCTGCTGATGGAGTTGGTGATCATGATGGTGATGGTGAAGGGGATCATGATGCTGCTGATGATGATGCTGATGATGATGGTGGTGATGATGGTTATGCTGCTGATGGTTATGGTCATGGTGATGACGATGATATTGATGATCGCGATGAGGATGTTGATCATCATTGAGATAAGACCATGCTACTGCTGCCGGTGCTGATGATGACGATGACGACGACGATGTTAATGATCCATATGATGTGCATGCTAAGAATGTACAATACTACTGTACTAATGCTGATACGGATGATTCTGTTGATGCGGTTGCTGCTGCTGAGGTTGTTGATGATGGTGGTGGTGTTGATGCAGGCGAGTAGGGTGATGCTGCTGTTGTTGATGATGATGATGCTCGCACTTTTGATGGCGACGACGACGACGACGATGATGATGATGATGATGATGCTGCTGATGATGATGATGACGATGATGTGTATTGTGTTGGGGGTGGGGACGATGAGTTTGCTACTGATGCTGTTGACACCGATGCTGATGCTGATGCTGATGCTGATGATGATGATGATGATGATGAAGATGCTGATGGTGCTGGCGGTGGTGGTGGTGGTGGTGATGGTGATGCTTACGATGCTGATGATGCTGATGCTGATGCTGCTGATGCTGATGCTCATGATGATGATGATGATGATGATGCTGATGGTGATGATGTCGATGCTGAGATTGATGACTGTGACAATGCTGCTGCTGATGATGCTACAGATAATGATGATGCTGATGATGCTGGTGATGGTGTTGTTGACGATTGTGATGTCGATGGCGATGTTGATACTGATGATTCTGATGATGATGCTGATTATGCTGCTGATGATGATGGTGGTGATGATGACGACGACGATGCTGGTGATGCTGATGATGCTGATGGTGCTGATGATGATGTTGCTGCTGGTGCTGATGCTGATGCTGCTGCTGATGATAATGAGGTATATGCCGAATATTTCGATTATTGTGATGGTTATGGCGATGGTCATGGTAGTGACGAGTATGATGATGACGACGATGATGGTGATGGTGATGAGGATGATGCTGATGATGATGATGATGATGATGATGATGATGATGATGATGATGATGATGATGATGATGATGATGATGATGATGATGATTTTTGGACAGATCGTGGGGCTGTCTCGAGCGGCGCGCTGGTGTTCGCCCCCCGAGGGGGGAGCCGCCATGGATGGGGGACGCTGGCCCGTCCGCGGCCAGATCGTGGGGATGTTTAGAGCTGTTTGGTGGCTCGGACTCCTACGCTCTCGTGGCGTGCTGTGAGGATGTCTCGAAGGAGGCGCTGGTTTCAGCACCCAACAAGGGGGATGCGACGGGAGCTTTCTCGCCCGCTCGCGTGTAGAAGAGGATGTCTCAAGCAGCTCGCCCGTTTGGTGGGTCAGGCTCCCTTGCCGTCAGAGCATTTTGTGCGGATGTCTCCAGCGAGGCGCTGGCTTCAGCACCCACTGATGAGCCGCCGGGGGCATGACGCTCGCCCGTTCGCGGCCGCCTTGTGGGGACGTCTCGAGCGAGGCGCTGGCCGTGGGTCTCCGGCTCCTGTCCATTCGGAGCCCCGTGATCGCCTCGAGGCAAAGGGGGAGCGACGGCCGCCTGGAAGGGAGGGAGGACACAGCAGGAAGGAGGAGGGAGGAGGGAGGAGCGACGAGGAGGAGGGCGCAGCAGGAGGGAGGAGGGAGGAGGGAGGAGCACAGTGGGGAGGGGCCGCGACGAGGCGGGCGAGGAGTGGGAGGGGAGGCTGCCGCCGAGCCAAGGGCGGGGGGACTTGCCAGGGAACGAGCAGGGAGGAGGACGGAGGAGGAGAGAGGACGGAGGAGGAGAGAGGACGAGGAGGAGGAAGGAGTAGAGCGTAGGAGGAGGGAGAGCGACAGCCGCCAGGGAGGAGGGGGAGGAGGAGGAGGAGGAGGAGGAGGAGGAGGAGGAGGAGGAGGAGGAGGAGGGACGAGGGAAGAGGAAGGAGGAGGTCGCAGGAGGAGGGAGAGGGGAGGAGGCAGCAAGATACGTTCTGCGACGAACGGGACGAGGGAGGAGAGGGGGGATGGGTCCTGCTCAGCGCTCGTCTGCTTGTGATTGTCGTCGTCGTCGTCGTCCCTCATCGTAAACGCTGCCGTCGTCGTCCTCGTCGTCGTCGTCGTGCCCGTCGTCTGCCTGGACTCGCACGCACACCCAGGCACTCGTAGCCAGACGTTCACGGCAGACAGGGTCAGGAAACGAGATGCGCACACCTGCGGGGATCTTTGCGTCTAGAAGCAGAGTTCCCCTGCGCGCAGCGCCCCCTCTCGAGGAAGATGAGCGCCTCGAGGGCCCGCAATTCGGATAGGAGTTCCGTTTTGAACGTAACGCCTTCCATCCTTCGAGCGATATGGATTTCGACAAGCTGTATGTAAAGCTTGGGAAGAAGAGAAGCGCAACGTGGCAGCCTCGCTTTGGAAAGGAGTGTTCGCCGTCCGAGTCGATGTTGCACAAGGTTTAACCCCTGGTTGTGACATCTAGCCCATCTCAGGCGGCAGCACCGTTTTGAGAAAACGAAGCCACCTTCATCCGCGAAGCTGTTGCACACGTGTCACTTGCGGTACAAAGTTTCGAGGGCTTTCAGCGAGAGTCTCATTCTGAATCGTTCCAGCCTCCATCCGTGTATTTGGTTCAAGTGTTCAGGACGGCTTCGTACGCCGTTCAGGCGGGAGCTGGATCTTCAAAAACGATTGCCCGTGCACCTGTATCACAGCTGGAGCTTTTTACCCTCATGAAAGTCATCTAAGAACATGCTAAGCAAACGCCGGGCCTAGCCTACAGGCACGCCTGGTGGTGCGACAGGGAGGAGGTGTGTATGAGGAAGGATCGGAGGAGGAGGAGCAGGAGGAGGAGGAGGAGGGTGAGGAGGAGTAGGAGGAAGATGGCCAGAGCAAACCCAAGATGTATGCACGATGCTGCAATTCACCCGTCCGTCACAAGCTCCCCTGCACGAGTTCTTGCAGTTTTTCCACTGCGTGAAGTGCCCCCCTCGGGCCCGCGGTTCGGGCGGGAGCTCTGGGTCGAAAGGAGCTGCACTCCTCCCCCGAGGATCGGGCCGGGCGAAAGGGGGGGATTGAGAAAGGGGGGGTTACAAAATTTGCTGCATGCAGCTGGTTTCGGCCTCGCCGAGGGGCCGCAGTTCGGGCGGGCACTCTGGGTTGAAAGGAGCCGCATTCCTCCCCCGAGGAGTGAACGAATGGGACAGGGTGGGTCGGGGTTGGACAGAACCCCCAACAGTGACACGTCGACTAGTGAATTGTCCGTTTTCGGTTCTCGAGAGGACGCCGTGGCCGTTATTTTCCATGCTTGCGCCCGCCAGGTTTGGGCCTCGGGTCGTTTTCACTAAACCACGTTTTACTAAAGGGAGGTCTGTCCATCCCCGAGTGGGGTCATCCAGTTCAGGGACGTGCCGAGCGACGGCCCCGCTCTCACAAAGAGCCGCCCCCCATCCGTGTAACTTCTGCAAGATGTTGGATTGCGATGGCCTTACGGCCGGTGCCGCCGACCCTGACGTTTGGGAGGAGGGCGCGGAGCATGGGGAGGAAGATGAAGAGCGGGACAGGAGGAGGAGGAGGCGGATGAGGAGTAAGAGCAAAGGGGGGGGGAATGAATAGGAGGAGAGTGAGGCGAGCAGGGTCGCGGGGGGGGCACGAAGGAAGGGCAGGGGCGAGTAGAGCGTGGCGATCATGAGGAGGAGAAGGAGGGAGATAATGGCGAGGATGTTGACGATGTTGACGACGACGCCGGTTGCCTATCAGGACCATTCGGGGCGTCTCGGGGCCCTCCTGGGGCGATTTCCAGGGTTCCTTCGTTGTTTTGAGGCTAGGTTCGGCATCTTCGGCATCTGGGAGGCCGCGGAGGTGTAGTTAGATTTGGAGGACGTTGGGGCCAGGATTGGGCCAGGGCTGGGGCCGGAGCAGGCCGGGAACCAGGGCCAGGGCTGGGGCCGGGGCCAGGCCCGAGGCTGGGACTGGGGCCGCGGGCCCCGGGCTCGGACCGGGGCCGGCCGGGGCCGGGGCCAGGGCTGGGACCATGGCCGGGGCCATGGCCGGGGCCGAGGCCCGGACTGGGGCCGGGGCCGGGGCGGGGGGCCAGGGCCAGGGCCAGGGCTGGGACTTGGCCGGGGCCGGGGCCGGGGGGAGGCGGAGCCGGGGCTGGGGCTGGACTGGGGCCGGGGCCAGAGCTGGGGCGTGGCAGAATGCCTCGGTTGTCGTGAGGCTTTTTGTGGGCCCCGGGCCTCCAGGGGGGGAGTCTGAGTCGTATCTCGAGGGGGGGCCTCCCCGGGACCCCCCCCCGGCGGGGGAGGGATCAAAGGGAAGGGGCTTCTCTTGGATTCAATGGCAACCTTGCTCTTGAGGGGGAGGCCCTGGGAAAGCGGCGGGTGAGCGGCAGCGGGCCCAGGGAAGAGGATGGAAGGGGAGGGGGGGAGACAGGCTCAGGGAAAGGGGGAGTGCAGGGACAGGAGTCGAGGCTGGCCCAGGGAAACGGTGGGCGCAGGGACAGGAGACGACGGAGACGACGACGAACGAACGGTGGGCGCAGGGACAGGAGACGACGGAGACGACGACGAACGAACGACGGGAACAGACAAGCCCCTCACACACGCCGACACAGGGTCTGCGGATTTCTTGTCGTACATACGCAGACCTCTCAGGCGAGAGCCGTATATTTGTTGTGCACTTATCTATTTCTGTTTATTCACTTAACCAGAGTCCCTGGTT